GTTAAACCATCTCCTTTAAGCAACTTCTCAACCTCTACTTCTCCTACTTGACCTGCTAGTACTTCAACCACCGCGAATCACTTCCTGTCATGTCTTCCCTCATACTTTGCTGCCCAACGATTGCATCAAGTCAAAATGCATATCTGTAGCACCTGAAGCATTAAAATATTACCGACTCTAAGCCTCTTCGAAGATCATCTTTCTCGAGCCATCAACATTAGAAATACCAATTCAATTCTGAACCGCTGCACACAGCTATCTCTGGAAACCACCCCTCAGGCACCATTTCACAACACCCTGCCCCGAAAGCAAATTCCAAGAAGACCGTAACACCAGCGGACCATAATGCATTCAAACAAGGACGGGGACACCGCATCACAATGAAAATTCCACCATGCTCGCAAATATCAAGTCTTGTTACTTCAACAACTAAACTTGGACATCTATAGTCCGATTGCCTTTCCTCCGCTGGAATTAATTGTTGAATCACTTAATCATGCACTGAGAAATCCTCTCTTTGAGCCATTCACTACCTCAACACATAACGAGCACCTTACCATTACACCAACATTGTGCAATAACAACGCATAGCCATCGTAGCAACTCGTGCACAGTCTCAAAATCATAGAAAATACAGATACTGAGCTGGAATAAAACAATATCCTTCTGCAAGGCGACGATAATATCCTACCCGAACACACAGGGAAAAACATCCTGCATCACGTTTGCAATACCACTACAACTCCTCAATGCCCAATTGATAACAAACATTTTGTGTCGCATAAGATTGAGTTTTGAACATCGAATTGGAGTCGGATTTGAGTGAAACTAGTATGGTTGGACTCGTAATTGAATGGGTTGTCGGATTTTGTAAATTTTGTTGGGTTTCGAGGTGCGGGCCCAGGTTGGGCTTTTGGCTGATTTTGGGCTTTTGATTCAAGATTTGATCTTTTTCGATCGGGATTGGTTCCTTTAGCATTGTTTGATGTATTTGAGTTGTTTTTGGTTAGTTTCGAGCCGTTCGGAGGTCGGAATGTGTGGGATGGCATTTTGGAGCATCACTTGGCTTGCTCGGTGTTGGAATTGGCTTGTTCGAGGTAAGTAACTCTTCTAATCTTGGAGCTGAGGGTATGAAACCTCGAAATACGTGTTATGTGATTTGTGTTGAGGTGACGCACATGCTAGGTGAAGGGCGTGTGGGCATGCACCATGTGAATTGGGACTCTGTTGTTTCCATGGCACTGAATAGTGGCCCTATTTTGTTGATATTCGTGTTTTTACCATGTAATAAAGTAACTGAGCTGTAAATCATGCTAGATATCATGTTTAGGCTTTATGCCGATACTGTTGGTACATATAGTGGTCGTTTCTTGCTGTCATCTCACTGATTTCATTGATATTTCATACTCAATCATATTCATGCATTCATATCATATCTCAGTCTCAGTTGTTATTTATTGATACATCATATCATTGTTGTCGGGCTAGTTTCATGATATTGTGAGCCCGTGAGTGAGACTTGAGAGATTGATGACTGAGTGAGGCCGAGAGCCTGATTATGAGTGACAGTTATAGGATCGGGCTGCACGCCGCAGCATGCTATATTGATTTATGCCTGGATCTAGCTTATGATAGTGTTTGGGCTGTAGGATCCCCTACGGAGTCTGCACACCCCCAGTGAGCGCGGTTGATTATATTAAGGGATGGATCTTCTCTGGACATGGATCTTGTCCGAAGAATTTATATACCTGGAGATGGATCTTCTCCATGGGGCCAGATTGGCCTTCCTCGGTACTGAGTGACTGATGGTCAGTAATGTATATATTCCGGGATGGATCTTCCTTGGGTCGTATGGGCCATATACAGTACTGAGTGGTTGAGCATGATGAGTGAAAAGTGTCAGACAGTGAGATTGAGTACTCTGAGAGTGTGAGTACATGATTCATCTCTGAGATACATGGCATTGGCATGCACACATGACATGCAGGCATAGAGATATATTTTTCCTTATGTTGTACGGTATCACGTCATCCATGACTTTTTACACACATTGATATATGGGCATAGAGAGGTATTTCACACTTGTTATCTGGAAAGAAAATGAAACATCTTATTTATTATTGAAAGGATTTTGGGAAAAATTATTGTTTTCAAACTTATTCATATTTTTGGAAACTTCGGTAAACGATTTGGATTTTCACTGATGTACTTGAAAGGCAGAACCATTTTCAGAAATCACGATTTTGCTGAGCATTTTTATCTCTGAGTTACTTCTTATATTATTTGCTTTAAGTTGTTATGGACTGTTGTTAGCTATTGGTATGGACCAGACCTTGGTACAAGCTCGTCACTACTTTCAACCTAAGGTTAGGTTTATTACTTATTGAGTACATGGGGTCGGTTGTACTCATACTACACTTCTGCACTTTGCGTGCAGATGTTGGCTGCTGATGTTGCTGTGATCGATGGGAGCTGGATTGAAGATGTACCTGCGTCCCTGTTGTAGCTGTCTCTTGTTCGTGGTAGCTTTAGATCTGTAAAACTCTGTTTATGTACTTTTCAAACAGACGATGTATTTTATTTCATTTCAGCTTTGTAAATTCTATTCTTAGAAGTTCATGATTTGTACTACCAGTTCTGGGAGAATGTATCAGATTCAGATAATTTCTTTACTTAATTACTTTAATGATTGTTATTAGAATTGGTTAGTGGTTAACTGGCTTACCTAGCGGGTTGGGTTAGGTGCCATCACGACAAGTTGAATTTTGGGTCGTGACAGTACATGAGGTGACGAGTACGTACACGGGCTATTTGTTAAAAAATTCGATTTATTTTACTGAGTAGCAATTTGTTTTTCCTTTAATTTGAGTTATACCGTTTAAATGAGTATTCGTCTGTTTTTCATTCTTAATTGAGTTATTCCAACATGCGTAGTTATCCTGTTTAGTCTAATATCGTGTGTCTACGTGCTTTAACTGCTTATTTAAACTCTGTGAAGTATGCCTAGTTGATTTTCTATTTTTCCTTGTTCTTTATCAGTCTTAACTGTAGAATTCTTGTTGTTAACTATGGTATTTATCGGTTGAGATGTGTGTTTACTTTTGAGACTACGAGGCGGTTCCTCGGGAGTTCTCCCTGCATATTTACTTTTGAGACTACGAGGCAGTTCCTCGGGAGTTCTCACTGCACATTTACTTTTGAGACTACAAGGTGGTTCCTCAGGAGTTCTCCCTGTATATTTACTTTTGAGACTACAAGGCGGTACCTCGGGAGTTCTACTTGCATATTTATTTTGGGACTACGAGACGGGTTCTCGGGAGATCCCCTGCTGTTTATCCCTGTGTGTTGCATTGTTATATCGTTGTGTTTTCTTTTTGTTAAATTCCAATCACTTATTATAATGTTATATTTTCCTGCTTTATTTATTATATACCAGTGGGTCTGACCTAACCTCGTCACTATTATACCAAGGTTAGGCTTAGCACTTACTGTGTCCCTTTGTGGTGTACTCATGCTACTCAAACATGTGCAGATCCATGTGCTTCTTATTAGCCCCGCTACTAGCTGAGAGTACTTGCTGTTGTACGAAAACTATAAGGTATATCTGCCACGTCTGCAGACCTCGGAGTCCCCCTCTATTCTCTCCTATGTCATTTACCTTCCGTACTTCTTTTGTTAGACTCTGGTGTATAGAGATACTAGTTTTCTTCTGTAGCTTGTGACTTATGATGTTCCGGGTTTTGGAAAAAACTGTGTACGTCTAGCATTTTAGTTATTGTACATGCCGAGCGGCATTGTTATTGGTTATTCAGTATCTATTGCAGTTAGTTGTTAAGTTTTGTTTTCGTTTTGTTATTGGTTATTCAGAATCTGCTAATTGCATCTGCCACTCTTGAAGTTACCATAACTGCTACTCCTCTCTGGGTGATTAAACTTAATACTTTCATCTAATCTTTCAACACGAAACATGAAAATCAAAAACTGGTATTTAACTATAAAAATAGTAATTAGTAAAACATCTAATATATTTATAACTCAGAAATTCTACAAATAAAATCCAGGTCTCCAAAATCTAGCCTATACCGACGAAACCACATATTCAATAATAATATACCAGAAAAAAGAAGAAAATATTTAAAGTGTTTATTTGGAATACTTTATTCCAAAAAGAGTTAAAGGATGAAAAATAAAAAGTTAAAGGCAGGTTAGACCACATACAGTTTAATCAAGATTCAAGTAGAGCATAACTTGCTAAAGACGGAAAAGAGAATTAACTTTAATGACCTAGGCGTAAACACTGATATTTGTGGTAATTTTTAGACTCGGTTCTGCAGAGAAGAATTGAAATTTGTCTAATATTTGACTTGTTTTGGTTCCACAATCAACTTTTCGATTGTCTAATATTTATACTATGGAACTATAGATAATAAATATAGAATTTGATTTCCATTCAAATAATGAATGAACGAATACGTTTCCTTTACTAATTTGACCCTAAGAATGTCACGTTGACTTGGAATCTACAATATTTGAATTGATTTTACATTTTTAGGTATTAACATTTAAGATATAATTTAATTATTGAAGGGCATAACAGGCGCGTAATATTTTGGAGATATTTTCGTCATTCAACATTTAGCGTGAAATATTCGTGCTTTTATAATAAAATAGATAAGAGGGCCAATGAGAGATGGGTTGGCACCTCTCTAAAGCCAAGATTCACATTTATCTTTTTTCTCATTTTTTTGCCATTTCCCCCCCTTTTTTTTCTTTTTTCCTTTTTTTTAAAACTGTTGATGTTCATATGTTAGAACTATGAACATTGCATGTGTTGAGGATATAGCCAGCTGTCATGTGCCTTAGCTGGCCATTTTCAGTTAGTTAGTTATGTTCAGCTTGTTAACTTAACCAGCATTAGTTAGTTAGCTAACCATAGTTAGGCCTTTAAATAAATAGGCGGTTATACTGTTATGGATAACGAACTCATTTTTCTTTTTTCAAATAATGAAATGAGTTGTGCTCTTCTTTTCTAACTCTATTGTCTATCTCATTTGTTTTGCATTCATTGAATTCATGAAACTTAACATGGTATCAAAGCCCATAAGGAAGAGGATTTAGGGATTTTATCTGTCAATTCACGAGAAAGTCAAGAAATTCTTCTTCGCACCGAGAGATTTTAGGGATTTGCTTCATCGATTTGTGGAGGAAATCGGGAAATTCTTCGTCATAGCTCAGTAAAAACCCTAATTTTGCAATTATGGTGAATTTCGGTGAGAGTTCCAATGGAATCGATCACAATCGCCCGCTTTATCTTCAACCTTCAGATGCGCCAGGAGTAGTACAAACAAGGATTATGTTGATCGGCATGGAAAACTACAGTAGTTGGAGTCACGCTATGAAACTAGCTTTGGAATGCAAAAATAATCTAGGTTTTATCGATGGCTCAGTTAAACGAAGTGCGGTTGGAATGGAGTATGAAAAACAATGGGATCGATGTAATGCTTTGGTCACCTTGTGGATAACTAGCATGTAAGTAAGGATTTGCTCAGTGGTATACTTTTTCGTACTGATGCATGTTCTGTTTGGAACGACTTGAAAGAAAGGTTTGATAAGGTCAATTTGACCAGATTTTATCACCTTCAAAAAGAAATTGTTACCCTTACTCAAGGTGTTTCCTTTGTTTCAACCTATTACTATAAGTTGAAGGATCTATGGGATGAAGTAGATTCAATTGTACCTCCACCTTCTTGCTATAATAAATCGAAGAATTTTGTAAAACACTTGAGCAATCAACGTCTGCTACAATTTTTAATGGGACTAAATGATGGATACAATCAAGCTCGAAGTCATATTTTGATAATGAATCCTACTCCATCAGTTAATCAGGCCTATGCGATTATAGTCCGAGATGAGAGCCCAAAATTAGTCTCAGGAGCAGGATATACTTTGGGTACAAACATAGACCCACAGCTTTGTTCACTGCCACATGTGGACCACAGAAGCAGAGAAATTTTTTTAATACATTTTGTGATCACTGCAACATGAAAGGTCACAATAGGGACAATTGTTTCAAACTTATGCACTGTGATATTTGCCGAATGAAGGGCCATCTTAAGGAAAACTGCTACAAGTTAATCGGTTACCCTGCTGATTTCAAGGGAAAGAAGAAAGCAAATGCAGTCATGGGAGGTAATTCCTTTTCCGATTTTCAACAAATGCAACAAGCTCAAGCTGAGTTCCAACAAATGCAGCAAGGAAGCAACAACATGCATATCTCACAGCAACAGAGAAATAATAAGTCAACCATAGGACCTTTCTTCACTCAAGAGCATTACAATCAGATCTTATCCATGCTAAGCAAAACTTCTTTGAATGAGGCTAGTGCTAACATGGAAGGTAATATACTCTCTAACAATCTAACTATTTTGAAATGGACAGTGGACACTAATACAACTAATCATATAGTTAATGATAAGTATGCAATGAACACTGATATGGTAGTAGGAGACTCTAGAAAGGTTCAATTACCTAATGGGGATTCTGCTGAAATCACTCAAATTGGGAACTTTCAAATGCCAGGAGGTGAATCAATTAAGAATGTGCTTTGTGTGCCATCCTTAAAGTTTAATCTCTTGTCTGTTTCCAAACTGACAAAGGAATTGAACTGTTGTGCTATATTTTTTCCAAACTTCTTTATCTTTCAGGATCTCTTCATTGGGAAGGTGAAGAAGATTGGTAAAGAACAAGATGGATTATATGTTTTGCATACCAAGAAGACAGAGATCCATGGCAGCCAATGGAATTGTAGATGCTGCAGTTTGGCATCAGAGATTGGGTCAAGTACCTATGTCTGTTCTTAAGAAAATTATTGTTTTTAAAGACTGCAATAGTTTCACAATAAGTCACTGTGACATTTATCCTTTAGCTAGACAAACAAGAGTACCTTCTCCTCTCAGTTGTACTAAGATATTTGATGTGTTTCAATTGCTTCACATGGATGTGTGGGGACCTTATAAGGTGCCTACTTATAATGGCATGAGATATTTTCTTACAATAGTTGATGATTTCTCTAGGTGGACTTGGGTGTTTCTGATGCAACTTGAATCTGATGTAGTTACATTGCTGAAGGATTTCATAGTAATAGTGACAAATTCTTTTGGCAAGAAAATTAAGGCATTTAGATCAGATAATGGAACTGAATTTTTCAATAGAAATTGTCACGACTTATTTCGACATTATAGGATTATTCATCAGAGTTCTTGTCCACACACACCACAACAGAATGGTGTAGTAGAAAGAAGGCACAGACACATATTAGAAACAGCTAGAGCCATCAGATTTCAAGGCAATTTTCCCATTAGGTTCTGGGGAGATTGTATTGAAGCAGCAGTTTATGTGATAAACAGGATTTCCTCTTCAGTTATGGGCAATTAGACACCCTATGAGTTGCTACTTAACGAGAAACTTTGTGTGTCACATATGAGAATTATTGGTAGTCTTTGCTTTGCTACCAATTTGGTTAGCAGGGACAAGTTTGGACCTAGAGCAATTAAATCAGTCTTATTGGGGTATGCACCAACACAAAAAGGCTACAAGTTATATGATTTGGCTAATAGGATCATCTTTGTTAGTAGAGACGTCATCTTTAATGAGAAGATCTTTCCTTTTCAACAGTTGAGGCAGGAATCCCAGTCCCCTTCTTCTCAGCATGTTCCTGCTTATATTTTTCCCACCTTTGAAGAACTCCAGGAATGTGCTACAACAGTACCACCATCCTATGATTTGTTCAATTCTCCAACAACTACACCAATTACAACCATATCACCCTCACACTTGAACACCTCAATCTCACCCGCATATATCCTTGACTCACATTTGGAGATTCCAGCTGACTTACCAATACTTGTTCAATCTTCTCCAATTAACCATTCTTCCTTTTCTCATGAGGAACTTCCAGCCTCATCTTAACCTTCTACCTCCTTTAATGACATAGTTGTTCCTATTTCTTCTCAGTCATCAGATGCTTTAAGAAAATCTAGCAGAACAAGCAAACCTCCCATCTGGCTTCAGGATTATGTAGGCACAACTAAGGGCAAGTCCAATCTCTCCCTATATCCAATCTCTGTTGCAGTAGATTACAGTGCCCTTACTACTTCTTATCAAAGTTTTATTGCCAAATTCTCTGTGGAGGTGGAACCTAAGAATTACTATGAGGCTGCTAAGGACCCCAGATGGGTTGCAGCCATGAAGGCAGAAATATAGGCTCTTGATGATAATAATACTTGGACTGTTAGATCTCTTCCTGCAGGCAAAAAGGCTATAGGGTGTAAATGGGTCTACAAAATTAAATACCAAGCCAATGGTGATGTTGAAAGATTTAAAGCGCGCTTGGTGGCAAAAGGTTACAGTCAGAAGGAGGGGATAGATTATCAAGAGACTTTTCCCCCGTAGTCAAAATGGTAACAGTTCGAGCTGTTCTTTCTATAGCAGCTGCTCATCGATGGCACATCTATCAAATGGATGTCTTTAATTCTTTTTTATAGGGAGATTTAACTGAAGAGGTTTATATGCAACTTCCTCGTGGATTTCTTCACTCTCCTGCTAAGCACCAAAATAAAATTTGTAGGCTGCTCAAGTCCCTCTATGGGCTCAAGCACGCCTCCCGTCAATGGAACATTAAATTGACCACAGCCTTGCTCTCTTCTGGTTTCTCCCAAATCCATCTTGATTATTCACTTCTCACCAAGAAGGTGGGAGATAAATTGGTGGTTTTTCTCATCTATGTTGATGATCTCCTTATCACAAGGAATGATCCTCAACTCATTCAGGATACTAAAGACATCTTACAACGCCATTTCAAAATCAAGGACTTAGGTGAATTGCGCTACTTCCTTGGGCTTGAATTTGCTAGAAGCAAGGATGGCATATTAATGCATCAGAGAAAATACGCCTTGAAACTTATCTCTGATATGGGCTTAGCTGGCTCCAAGCCTCTAGGTGCCCCCATGGAGTTGAATCTGAAGCTTACTAGTGCTGAATTTGAACAGCATACATGCCAAACAGCAAATGTTGTACTTGTTGATCCTAGTGTGTATCAAAGGCTCATTGGTAGACTTCTGTACTTAACCATTATCTGGCCTGATATTTCCTATGTTGTGCAGTCCCTTAGTTAATTTATGCATGCTCCCAAAGTCTCTCACATGGAGGTTGCTCGTAGGGTTGTTCGATACATCAAGCAGGCCTCAGGTCTGGGCATTCTTTTCTCTGCCTCCAGCACTCCTCAACTACAAGTTTTTTGTGATGCTGATTGGGGCTCTTGTCCTAACACTCGTAGGTCCATCACTGGGTATCTTGTTAAGCATGGTGATTCTCTCATCTCGTGAAAATCCAAGAAACAATCAACCATCTCTAGGAGCTCTGCTGAGGCAGAGTATCGTAGCTTGTCTTCCACTGTCACAGCGGTGGTTTGGTTGGGTGGCCTTTTTCGAGAACTCGATGTTCACTTGCAGCTTCCTGTCCCTCTTTATTGTGACAGCAAATCTGCCATCCAGATCGCTGCTAATCCAGTTTTTCATGAGCGTACTAAACACATAGACATTGATTGTCACTTTATCAAGGAGAAGGTCCAGCTTGGTCTGGTGCAGACTTGCTACATTGCCTCTGCCGAGCAGCCTGCTGATCTTCTTACCAAACAGCTTACTCGTCATCAATACCATTATTTGCTTTCCAAGCTAGGGATGAAGAACATCTTTCTCTCCCCTAGCTTGAGGGGGGGTGTTGAGGATATAGCCAGCTGTCACGTGCCTTAGCTGACCACTTTCAGTTAGTTAGTTAGTTATGTTCAGTTTGTTAACTTAACCAGCATTAGTTAGTTAGCTAACCATAGTTGGGCCTTTATATAAATAGGCGGTTATACTGTACATAGAGGATAACGAATTCATTTTTCTTTTCTCAGATAATGAAATGAGATGTGCTCTTCTTCTCTAACTCTCTCGTCTATCTCATATGTTTTGCATTCATTGAATTCATGAAACTTAACAGCATGTTTAGCCAAAAGTTACCTCTTTAATTCCTAATAACTACACCTTAAATGCCTCTTATAACAAACTTTACAAAGACTCCAAACGTTTCCTCTTTATCCAAATGTTTTCTCTTTAATTCCTAAATAACTACACTTGAAATGCCTTTAAATAGACTTTACAAAGACATTCATCGCTTCCCAGTATTATTTACCCATTTTTCTCTATCTTAATTATTTGTCTTCTACATCTCAACAATTACCTCTTTAATTTTCTCACATTAAAGTAATCAATGAGTTCCAGAGCGTGGCCGCCACACATATACTGTTTCTCAGCAATAGTAAAGTCTGTCATTTTAGACCGAACGGGATGTCTGTACTGCTTAAAATTCAGGGTGTTTGAATTGCTGCAGTTGAAAAAAATAGGTCATTATGTGCAAATACACTGGGAAAATAAATCTTCCTTATATGCTACGGTATATTTATTTTTTGAAGTCAATATTTGTAATTCTTTGTTTTTTATCCTCATATTTTTTACGCTTTTTAGCATGTATACTTCAGTAATGCACAAAGGCAACCTACAAAAGATGGGTTTGAAGAAAATAGAGCAGTAATACAATCAATGAGTTCAACGCTTAACATTGCCTATATATGCTAATGAAACAAATTTAACCGTCTTAGTATTCCTTCTATTGAAGTTCCTTTTCCAGAGAGGTTATACAACTAACTTCTATTGAAGATCTAACTTAACCGTCTTTATTTTCACAACTTTTTTACGGCACCCAAGAAATTAATCATCTATTTGCCAGTTCTTTTTCCAAAATATATTGCTATACATATTTTATCTTCAATTTTTTATTCTAATTCTATGATTCCTTATGTCCTATTGGATCAATTTCTTGTAGTGGAAGAAACAATTTTGATTTCTCAAGTAGGCATTATATTTTGAGATAAAATTTCCATTTAATTATTTGCACCGTGTGAGTAGATTATTATTCTACAGATACTTTCATGAAATTCCTTACCTACACTCCTTTCATAGTTTCATTCAAATTCGCTTACACAATTTCATTGATCAAAAGTTAAATTATTTTTAATATTTATACCACAAGACGAATACGGATTAAAAGATTTTTGATAAATAGTACTACTGCTGAGCTTTTGAATTTCTTCATTGACTGGTACTTTCTTGGATGAACCAGGTTCATTAGGAGTGGCATTGACTTCATAGTCACAAGCAATCAGAGTATTTGCCCCAAAGTGATCTTTGCTTGTAGCCACCTCCCACTTCTTCAGAGGTACCTTAAAATATGCAAGCATAACAGTGAGAATGAAGCCATAGGGAATGGCATGAGTCTTGGATCCATTTATAACCCTATCAAGAAGCTGGATTATAAATCCAGGCCAATTCATCTGCCTCCCACTGTCCAAATACTCCATCAGAACCAAATCCATGAAGTTGGCAATGTGCCTCCTTTCCTGCCTAGGCAGAACACACTTGTTGACAAATTCGAACAGCACCTTGTGGGATGGCTTCATCTCACTCTTGTACACAGCCTTGGGCTCAAGTTCCTCCTTCACTGAATTTTCTGGAAATGGACAGGGCAGTAGGAAAGTTTTCTAGGCTTGGCCACTTAAGCTTTGTGTAGTCATTGTACCCCTCAGCAGGTACACCTAGAATTTCACCCAACTCCTTCACATTTAAAGAGATTTGCACCCCTTTCACAAAGATGGTAACCCATCCATCCTTCACTGCAGCATTTGGCATAAATTCAACAATTTCACTCCTGGCCAACCTGTCATCCATCTGAAGGACCATGTTTTTCCAGCCTTACAATCCTAATTTCTCCAATAGTAGCACCATCCCTTCCTCCTCCAAATCCCTGAGGAGTCTACCCTTCAGAATTGTCCTCTTACCAAACTTGGCCATCTTGTCCTTCTCAGTATCTGAATCATCTTCCTCTTCCACTCCACTCCATTATTCTTCCTCAATAATTTTCACTTATTTTGTCTTCACAGCAGACCTAGTCCTTTTTGC